GTTGAACACGTGCAGGTAGTACAGGAGCTGGAAGTTCAACAGGAGGATGATGAGGGGCAAGAGCATCAGCAGGATGTACCGAAGCAGGTTCAGGAAGGTGAAGAACAGCTGGTGCACGACGAAGTGGCTCCGGTAGTAGGTCAGGTTGCAACCACGCTTCCTCCATAGCTTCTTCCATGACACGTCTCGTGAGGCCCGGAAAGCACATCCCAAGACGGCTACACTGCCACATCAGTTGTGCTCTCCCTTCTTCACACGGCATCGCACCCACCCCACACACTTCTGCTCTGTTCATCAAGACGTCCATGATCGCCTCGTTGGCCCGGTTCACACGTCCCAAAGCATGATGGAGCACTCGAAGTGTCCAGCCAGCGTCTCGTGCACGTCCATCCCCAGCACTTGGCAGTTCAGAGGCCATCTCATCCAACAGCTGTGACAGTTCACAGATGCATTCACGATTCACCCCTGCTTCGAAGAGATTTTCCCCTTCCACATACGTGAGCCTCTGTACCAACACAACAGCTTCTTCCTCCCATTCCTCCCCCTGGTCAGTAACACCTTCCCAGGAACAGGTACTGGAGGCCGCCACCATCGTAGACAATGTCGACGTAGTAGACCAAGTGGAAGTGCTCGTTGTTGGTGCCGTGGACACTGCGATACTCGACGGGGCTGTTGGTTCATCTTCGCTGCCATGGGCACTTTCTTCTTCTCCCTCCACCTCGGACTCCGCCCCATCTACACTTCCTACCATACGGTCAGCAGCAGCCAGTCTGTCCCGCGGCCCAGTGTACGGCGGCTCTCCGCTTCCCGCTGGTACTTCACGAAGAGCATCACGTTCCCGCTGTTCACGAGCGAAAGCAGTCCTGGGCGTCCGGTCACGACCTCTCCCATCCCCTGTTGCTTCTTCACCCCGGCGTAGGTTTTCCTGAACATCGTCCCTGAGACCTTCGATGCGTCGCAGTAGGAGGTTGTCTCTGTCAGGACGACGGCGTGGTGGACGTTCTTGTTCACGGAATCGCGGCGGCAAGAGGTCAGGTCTAACCCATGCATCATCGAGCGCCACGTTATAAGCTTGGAGGAACACATTGGCCATGACCGCCCCCTGCTCACGGCAAGGATAGAGTACACGCCCACGCTCAGCATCATCACTTGGCAGGTACGCCCCACCAGCCACCTCCCTGTTCTCCAGCATGTTGATGAGCTCCAGGAGGATACGTACTCCATGACGAAGAGCTCTGGTGTGCACCATAAGGCTCCACATGCTCTGCGCCCGGACGTGCATCGGTTGACTTAAATCACCAACTTGCATTGCCAGTCGCCCCAGGAAAGTGTCCACTGCAGTGATGTTCGCCCCAGCCACACCTTCATTTGCAAGCCCCTGCCACTCGTCCATCTGGAATGTTTGCACCATGCTCATGACGTCAAGGCTGTCCTCTGCTTCTGGTTCATTTACCTCAACATTTTCTCCCCGAGAGTTTCTGCTTCGGCTGCGGGAACGTTCACGAACATTTCGCGCTTCACGTCCCGCTACCAGCACTGGAGCATCTTGTACAGGTAGCGGAGGTACATCGGCAGCAGGTAGTCCAGGAGCTTCTGCAGCAGGAGGGGGAGGAAGTCGTACTCCTTCTGGTAGTCGTGCAAGGCGATTGGTGTGGTACCTCAGCAAATCTTCCGCCACCCCCAAGAGGACCCGCATGATCCGTCCTGCCACCCCAAGTAGTCTTGTACGTTGTGCAGCGACTCGCGGTTCCCGAAAAAGGGGAACATGGCACGCAGGATTGGGGCCAAGTCGTCTTTCCACAATTTCTGTGACTGACTGCAACACCCCTAGGACATGCCTCCATCTCAGCATCCACTGCCTCAAAGCCCATCTCCCCTCCGGTCCTTCCTCCATCGTGTCCAGGTCGTGTAGTGTACGAAGGAGATTGCGAAGATCACGACGTCCCTGATCATAGATGCCCAAGTTCTCCAGTTCGGCTTCTTCGGACATCCCCAGTTGCATGAAGACATTGTCGTCGTCATCTTCATCCCCTGCTGCATCCTGCCAGTCTTTCCAGTCCTGACTTGTCCAAGTTGTGCGCGGTGGAGGCTCATCATCCCTTGGCCAGCTCTTCACTGTAGGAACGTCGTCGTCTGACGTCTCGCCCCCATCTTGGTCTGCTTGCTCAACGAGAGGGCCAGCGTCATGACTGGAGGCAGAGCAAGACGTATGGTCCTCAGACACTTCCTCCAGCCAATCAACTTCTTCAGCATATGGCGGGGCTGCATCCCATTCATTTGGTCCTGGCGGGGGTGGTCGTTGAAGGTGACGGTTAAGTAGTTCAGCGAAGTTGACTTGTTGGGCTGCAAGCTGTTTTTTCTCCCAGGCAGGAACAAACTCGCCCCGAGCCCACTGTTCCATCCTCGCTCGGCGTTTAGTCTGCCTGACCGTCCCTTGGCCACCTGAGTGGAAACGTTGCTCCTCAGCTGTTCGTTCTCGTGCGACCCATCTTCCATGTCTGTAGAACCCAGTGGCATGAGCACGTTCTCCAGGATCAGCCTGTTGTGTCGGTTCGTCCCATGGCGGCGGCCCCCAGGTCGAAGGGTCCCTGAACCATTGACTGGAAGAGCTGGCTGTGGAAGTCCTTTGTGCCACCTCTTGCGCACGGGATTGAGCTGTGCCAGAAGGATGCTGTTCTCGCGAATGATCATCTCGTTCATGTGCACGTCCAACCCAGTCGTCACGTTCTGCACCAGCGGGATCGTGTTGTCGTGCAGTATGACGTGCCTGTTCTCCTGTGCGAGCTTCAGGTAGTCGATGATCATGTTGAGGGCGTTCACCTTGACCTTGTTCTCGTTGAGCACTGCCAGAAGGGATATTTGCTTGCGCCTGTTCAACCCGTTGTTGTACACGATCATCCCCATCGTCCCAAGCAGCATCAGCGGGGTCGTGTTGTCGTGAGCGTTGACGTGCATGTTCTCCTGGGCGAGCTTCAGGTAGTCGAGAATCTTGTTGATGGCGTTCACGTTGACCTTGTCCTCGTTGTCGAGCGTCATCCCCGGCATCACCACGCACAGAAGAGGAGGAGCTCGCCCCCCACTGTCCACCATTGTCTCCTCTCACATCGTCCCTTGCCCAGTTGTTGCTGTTGGTGTTCCACTGTGACGTCTGTCCCGGCGCTCCGATCGCTTGCTTGAACAGGTAGTGGATGGACGCCAGCAGGAAGATGAAGATGACACGCCCCTTGAGCAGCGGCACCACCATGGTTGCAAAGGGCGGTCTACGAATTGGGGTCCTCACAAAAGTGTTCACCACTAAAGGACATCTGAGATTCATCGGAAGTCAAAGTAAAAGTAGACTGCGTCATCAATGTAGAAAAGTAAAGTGATCACGTGCTTGCGTGTCAAGAACATCTGAGGAGGCTGCAGGAAACACATCAGCATGGGTAGCTTCACACGTACTTGCAGACACCCCTCAAGCATTCAGGCACAACTGACGTCCCCGCGACCAAGGTAGGTCCATGTCGAGGATCCACTTCTTCATGAGCTGTTTCCATCCCTCTCTAGATTCACACGCAAGGTACCATTTCTCCCCAAGACACCCAGCGAGGGAGCGCTCCAAGTTGGAAGCTCTGAATCGCTTTGGATGACGTCGTCCTACACTGGAGGCCTTCTCCCCATACCACGACTCCAAACTTCGCCACAGCTGCATCCGGGCTGTGAGTCCGCGCACGGGCCCCTCACGCTGGCGCATCCAATGCCCCGCCACTTGGTATTGTAGTCTGAGTATTTTGCTACTCCAGCGCTCCGCCCCTTTGGTAGCTATCCACTGCCGAACTTGTCTGAGCGACCGGGCATTGTAGCTGACCCAATCTTCTGAGGATCCCCTTTTGATTCCAAAGGCAAGCCTCAATACACGAAGTTGAGTGCTGTTCATCATCTGGAGGTCGGTTGTTTCCCAGTGTGTCGCCCCGGCAGACCAACTCCACACCCCTTCAACCAGCATCTGCACAAGGTGGTACTTGTTAGCGAGGGAACCAGCACCACTCAATAGCGCCTTGTGCTCGTGGAAAGCAGCCCAGACTCGGCCATGTAGTTCACGCGCTTGTTGAGACTGACATGCATCGAAGTCATAGTCAAGCCCCAAGACGCGTATGCTGTGACCAGGTGGGAGGATGTCAATCTTGGCCCCATCAAATGTAACCGTTCTCCGTCCCTTGTAGTACTTGCTTGCAATGATCGTTGTCTTGGAAGCGGCGAGGCGAAGTCCTATTTTCCGAAGTTCATCTGAGAGTTTTTGGATGTTCTTAGACAGGATACAGGCATTACTGGTCCAGACAAAGATATCATCCTGGTACGTCCCAACGTCGGCGGGGAGGTCGGACAATCCACCTGTAGGTTCATGCCATCTTTTTGCTGCCTTGAGCTTATTGACAACGTCGGAGATGATGAGTCCGAACAGCTCCGCCGATTCGGGAGAGCCTTGGCGGATCCCCTGATTGCAGCGTACACATACTTCACCCCCACCTGGAGCCGTCCCAAAGAGAGTGTTTTCCTGCAGGACCATGAGCAAGAAACGCCATTCAAAGGGAACATGCTTGTCCGCGAGGTGGCTTTCAAGGAAGTCTGCAATGGCTGTTCTGCTGACGTTGTCGAAGGCTGCTTCGACATCGAGTTTGGCCACAACCACCCCAAGCCTCCATTCCTTGCACATGTCACGAAGACGCCCCATGCAACCGTGTAGGTCGGCGGTGCTGCGGTTATGTCCACAGGCGGACCACGGCGAAGGGTCACGTAGTAGATGAAAGCTTCGTCCCATGACAATCTTAGAGAGCAACTTCATCCCAGTGCAGGACATGGCAATGGGACGCAGTTCCTTGACGGTCGTGGGCCAGATCGTTTTCGGCAGAAGGGCCAAAACTGAGTCGCCCCAGTCCCGAGGAAGGATTCCAGTAACAAGAACTTCATCAAAGAGCCGACAAAGTTGCAGAGGATGTTCATCGAAGATGCGGCGCAACAGGTCAACCCCAACCCCATCCGGGCCAACAGCAGACAGAGGAAATTCGTTTGGACAACTGATCGTCCCATCCAAGATCCTCGACCCACACTTTCTTTTTCAGCTGAGCCTCAACCTCCCCCGCAACTTCACACGAGCTCTTGCTGCTCAGGAGTTTCCCCCACCAATTACGCTTCTTCTTCTCAGCTTGAATGTCACGATACGCAAGCCAATCCCCACTCAGGACGCGAGAGACACGGTTCCTCTGCCAAGCACGTTTGTGTTTCCTTCTCAAGTAGTGCACCTCTTTCCAGGCCAGTTTGGCAGCTTCATCCCGTTGAGCACGAGCACGTTGGATTGCCTCCTTGACTTCAACATCGTCACGGTAACGTCCCTTTTTCCGAGGAGCAGTATGGCGACGAGCACATTCGCGTACTTCTTCCCAAGAACCAGGCTCCGGCAAAGGATGCTCGCAGTTGACCCACTTTGCTCTGGTGTCACGCCGTCGCCCCCACTTGGTGCACTGTAGTTCAATGTCGAAGTCCATCCTGGCATGATCTGTGTTGATATGGAAACGCACATCCTCGTTGACCACCACGGAAGAACATGACAGGAGGCGGCATGTCACCGCATCGATGTGACGACCACTGCGCGATGCGTCCCTTGGGTAGTGAGTGGGCTTCCACCTATCGTCGTAACGAGGAGGGCAGAGTCGAAGGTTGACGTTGGACACGGCCTCGAGGAACTTGTCAATTTTCGCCCCCGACGAAAGAGGGACATTACCATCGGCTTCACTCTCATCCGCGTGGGTCCAGAGCACGACTTCATTCACATCCACCCCAAGGCAACAAGGAAGGTCAGGGTGCCATCTTGCTAAAGCGTGGCGAAATTCTTGTACAGCCTTGTGATAGACAGACGTAGACACCCCAGTCGGCAGGTGCAGCGACCCCAGAATAAGGCGACGATGGTTGCGTAAACGGACGACCCATGCTGCTCCCTTGTTGAAGGCGATCCGGTCCGTCCAACTGTCATATAAATCATGAGATATTCCAACACCAACACCCCGCCATTGCCCCGGACTTTGGTGTGACAGCCATGTAAAGCATTCGGTAGTGTCCTCGCCCCAGCCTTCAGCGGATCGAGGCATTTCTTGTAGGAGGAGGATGTCAAGGTCTCCTCCAACGGTATCAACTTTGGATAAACTTTGCCCCCCAACATTCCAGGAAGCACATCGACGACGAACACTTTGAGCGGCACCATCGAACTTCCCTTGCATAGGCACTCCTGTCTGACGATGTTCGTCAGTTGGCGATCCAAGATATCGCCCCAGACTGTCTATGGTGAAACCTTTTTTGGACTTTCACAGCTCCAGTTCTACCGCCCGAAGGGCGGTATCGAAGACCACACCAGTTGCATGAGCCATGGCCATGATGTCGATCCATCCCGACGATAGGAGCTTCACGCTGTCTCCTCTCGGGTGTCTGTGCGTACTCGACCCAATTTTCCATTCGCCCATCCAGACCGTCCCCGAGTTCCAGTCGACGTCGTACGACCCTTCTTCTGCTCCTTGAGGATTATGTGCTTCACGTTGCATCATCGCATCCTTGACGAGTCCGGTGCAAACTCGGCGGATCAACGACCCATGGGCCGAACGTTTCCTGGCCTCTCGTGTCTTGGTGAAGGAGGCCCACATCACTTTACCCTCGCCCCCACCAGCTGTCGTGGAGCGAAGATGCACAGGTCGAGCTCGCAGATTCTGGATCACCTTCCACATTCTGTCCCGCGTCCCCGCCATGTTCTGGATCTTGAACTTGAGCACCCCAAAAGAGCGACGAGGCCCCCAGACCAGAAGTTCATCTTGATCCAGCAGCTCCGCGATCTCCGCTCTCTTCAGGAACTCTCCCCCTTCTTCGATGATAACTTGTTTTTTCGTATCTTGACTCCACCCCCCAATGATTAGCATCCGCTTGTCTTCCTCAGTGAGTTCTTCACGTCCCAGAGGAGCGCCATTCGGCCCACTGCCACCAGGAGGAGGAGGAGCGTCAGGACGTGCAGCAGGACCAGCATTTCCAGGACCAAACGGAATCCTATTCGCCTTGTAGTACTCAGCCCAGGGATCATCGTTCTTATCCCCTTGCGGCTCTCTCTTCTTCGCCGCAGCTTCTTGCTTGATGTCCTCGACTGCCTTGGTCAGTTGGTGAACTTTGACTTCCAGGTCCGCCCCTTTGCGCTCGACTTGTGTCACCCTGGAGGAGAGCACCGCCCGCACCTTCCTGTCCTCGACCGCTTCCTTCTCGACGCCCCCCAGCCTCGAGGAAATTTGCGCCCAGTTGGCCGTCATGGACTGGAAGTGCTCGTTCAGGAGGGCCCGGAACTCGCGCGAGGTAACCGGCACATCATCCCCGGCTGGATCATCATCGGCACCCCGGCGTTCACGTCGATCACGTCGCGGGGCAGGAGCCGCAGAGTTCGAAGGCAGTCCAGCGTCTCTAGCTCTCTTGCTTCGCCCAGGACTCCCTCCCACATCGTCAACGTTCATTGCTCCCCTCTCCGTCAAGTCCGTCGAGGTACCTCCAGGTCCTGCTTCCTGAAGTTCCGTGTCCCCCTCCTCCTCGAGGTCCTTGTCGTCGTCATCAATGATCTCAGTTGGACTTCTTTCCATAGTGACGGCAAAAGTCGAACAATGACAAAGCGGATGATCGTGTAGTCCCCGGTGAGTCCATCAAAAGCTAACGAAAGTCCTTGAACCACAACGCCTTGAGCCGTAGCGGGTTTAGGGTTTACTTCAAGGATCATGGGACTTAGTAAGTAGGGTTATAATTTAGGTAACTGTACCTATATTTACTTATAACCCCAATCAAGGGACTTATAACCTTACTTACTAAGTCCCATGATCCTCCACGTAGGCATCTAGCCCCGACCTACAGTTTTATGGGTTCTACCTGGTACCTACTAATGAAGGGGTAATGGCTGCTAAACTGTAGGTAAAGAGTTACAGGTACGGCTTCTGCGGTTTTTGAATTGCTGTTCGGACACTTCGGCGCACTCCAGCAAGTCATGCAAGCTTCCACAAAAGACTCCTGACAAGGCCCACTGTTCACCTAATATAGAAGCCTAGATGATTGCCAATATTTCTGGTAGGGCTCCTTAACATAATAATAATAATACTATGAAGGATCCCAAAAACCTATTCTGGTTATTAGGGCCCCTACATTAAAAGGATGGTTTGGCCCCCACTGGGTGGTCTAAACTTTCGGCCGGCTAGGATGCTCGCTATCCCGCACCTTTGGTAACTGTGGTAGTCCAATGCAACCAAAGCACAAGTGAGAATATCGCTACGTGGGCTGCCCAGCATAACAAGGGGACTGTCGCCCAGCTCGTCCTAGTTGGAGCTAACTTGCTACTTCACGGGTGTAGGGTTTTTAGTGTTTCGAGCTTAAGGTCCTAAACCCTAAACCTTAAACCCTAGGCTAAACGAGGCCTGGGACAAACAAAGAACAACTGCCCTCAGAACCCCGGCGCACCTGCAGAACCGGGTCGTCGGGGCCCTCGCAGGGACCTGCGGTTGGCTTGAGGGTTTCGGGATTAGGGTTTAGGGTTTGGGGATTAGGGTCTAGGGTTAGGGGTTAGGGATGAGGGTCTAGGGATTGGGGTTTAGGGCTACACCGGGACCGTCCTTGTACCCTCAGATAGGGGCATTTTCGTCCAAATTAATGGGTATTTAGGGTCGAACAGAAGGTAGATGGAGGGTCTAGGTAGAAGTTTCGTGTGTCACAACATGTAGGTGCGTTGGCACACCGCTGTTGCAGCTGCAAACTTGCATCAACTGCCTTGGGTACAACCACGTAATTAAGCTACTACAGGGGCCTTAATAATTGGAATAGGGTTTTGGGATATATTATGCTATAATTATAATCAGGAACCCCTAAACTAGTATTGGTAGTTATTTAGGCTCTTCGTATATTGCCCTCAAGAGACTCTAGACTCCAACCTGCGCAACCTTCGCAAAGACTTCCCACAGAATTGGTACAGGCATCCTGGTTTAGGCTTTGGTTGGTGTTCGTGTTGTAGGCATGTTGTGAACGACAAGGACCAACCAGATGGACAACACAGTTCCCGCTTAGAGAGCAATGGAGCGTAGCAAGTAGGGCCTATGCAGACTTACATCTTTTATACTTTATACAAGAAGACAATCTGGATACTCTCAGTCCTTTTTCAGTACTTAGTAGAATATGACTGTCCTTCCCTGAGGTTGGAAGTCTCCATTCCTAGAATGCAGGGTTGAAGGAATGAGAGAGAGCCTGCGACAATGCAAGCCATAAATCACGCAACCCCAACACCAGCACGCTGAACCCTGACAGCCTCTTAAGCCTCAAACTATATAGGTTCGTTAATCCGAAACTGTGATGCCCGCGAACTTCGATGCCCCAAACAATTCTTGCCTAAACCCCATTGCTCTATGGGCCCTAAACCCATCCTAAGCCCTGCAAACGGCGCCTTCTGTTTACACCCGATGAAACGGTACATGGTGAAGAAGATTGCAAAACACTAGCAAGATATCCTACCCTCACGCCTATACTAAAATCCTATATCTCAGAGCCCTACCACGAGAAATCCGGAACTCCAAACCATCTGTGCCCAAACCTCGTCCGCCCCGTGCGAAGCCCTGTGCCACGGCGATGATCGCGGCCTCGGCGTGAGCGAGGCTGGACGCGCAACTATGGGTCTATATCCAATGTAGGGGCCTTACTAATTGGAATAGGGTTTTGTTGTCTCAACACACTGTAAGCATAAAGCTCGAAAGCCCGAAGACCCTGCCACACAACTCAAGTCGATTAAACCAGTATGGACACAAAACAGCCCTAAAACCTGAACGTGTGAACCCGAATCCCAACAGCCGAAACCCAAGGCCCTGAATGAACCCTAAACCGCCAAGTCCCGAAACCTAAATCACCCAAACTAATTACCAAACTCACGAACACCATCAGCGCCAGGCAAAGCGAACGGAGCCCTTGTGCAAGGGCATCAAATTCGCCGACACCACCTCTTGGCTCTGGCTCTTTAGGGGTGGTTTATACTGCCACAGGGCCTCATCTGCTGTTCAAGGGCTTGTGTTTGAGGGTTTGGGTTTTGTGCAATTTATGCTTCCGGCTTCTGGATTTCAGGCTCAGCTCTTAGGGGTGATGTAGGGCAGTTAGGGCTTCGGCTTGCAGCGTCTCTCTGTCTTCGTATCTTACACATGGGGCTTCCATTAATAGGGTCCTAAAGACATTCGTGTTGTTGAGGTTGAGGGCGGAAGTGTCGTGAGTGCAGAGCAAGGGAATTTTGATTGTTGGGGCGAGCGCAATTGTAGGTTGAGCGTATACCTATTTGAGCACATGGACCCTTCAGGAATTCTGCAAAGAGGTCGGGATTTCAGGACTATTTCGCGGTCGTCACTGCTGCGTTGACATCGGTAGTGGTGGCTTGGTGATTCAAGTTGGAGAACTCCACAGTGGACTGGCAATCAAAGCCAAAAGGAAGAACATGGATGAAGAAACAACACAACACTCATGTTCACAATATTGATGCGCGATGGAAACCATGGATCGTATCCAATGCATCTGCCTGCGACATTAAAACCACCATGTGGGAGTCCAAAGGCATGCAGGATTCCCAGAGACCGCTGATAGTAGGATAGGGCCCCAAAAAAAACATAAGCAAAAATTAGGATCCGGATATCCCATATAAATCCCCTTATAATGAAGCCCAATAAGGTAGGGATATCCCTATAAAAAGCTTATGCTTATGTGCTTTTTGGGTCCCTAATGGGATTGACATGGCTTCATGACCCGGAGACCACGTCACTGAGGACCAAGCGTAGCCATCCACAATGTCTGAGCCACAATGTGTGAGAGCGCAATTTTCCCGACTTCCTGAGAAGTGCAGATACCAAAGGCGGTCCAGCTGAGTAGCTGTTCAGCTCAACCCTACTTATAGTTCATGAGTAGACAGAAGTGGACTTATAAGTAAAGTAACTTTAATTATAACCCATATGCCATATTGAGGGACTTATAACTCCACTTATAACTACCCATGAGCCTCCAAGTAGACATTTCTGAAGGCCTTTGGGGGATTTTGGACTGGGGCCTAGGGTCCAGAGCTATTCCGGTGTATATAGTAGCGTCCGGGCTGTGTCATACAATTGTGCTGGATAGAGAGGACAGAAGCATATATGAAGCAGGCCCTGTCACTCTTTCTTAGGAACATCGGTCCGAGGAAAGAGACTCACACATCTCTTGAAGGCACTTTAGTAGTAATAGCCCCCGTGATATAGAACACTTGAAAAGGACTCTAGGGGTTCAGGGTTTAGGGTACCTGAGTTTCAACAGTAATCCCGTAAAGCAACCTTAACATGAATACTAGCAACCCCCTAAGCCCCTAAACCCTCAACCCCTTAACCCCTAAACCCTAAACCCCTTCGAGGGCCACCAAGAGAAACTGCAACCGAGAGACCGAAGCAGCCGATCCGCTCTTGAGGCCTGCCAACAGAATCGCATTACTTGAAGGATCATGGGACTTAGTAAGTAGGGTTATAACTAAAGTACCTATACTTATAACCCAATTAGGGGACCTATAACCTTACTTACTAAGTCCCATGATCCTCCAAGTGTACACGATAACGAGGGTTTAGGGTTTAGGGTTATAAGCTACAGCCGCGACTTAAACCCTGTAGGCTCTATAAGCCTACTCTAGGCCCTATAAGCCCAAACCCTAAAGCCCTACTTAAGCCCTAATAGACTTTAAACCCCAGACCCCCACCCCAAAAAAAACAAGCTGCGAACCATATATCCGGAACCCTAAGCCTTCAAACAAATGTCACAAGCCGGGTCTGAGCGAAACTACCACGCCCGATTTAGAGTTATGGGTTTTTAGGGTTTAGGGCTTAGGGTTTTTAGGGTTTAGGGCTTAGGGTTTAAGGTTTTTAGGGTTTAGGGTTTAGGGTTTAGGGTTTTTGGGGTTTTGGGGGTTTTAGGTTTTTAGGGTTTTTATAGGGCTTTTAGGGTTTAGGGTTTAGGGTTTTTAGGGTTTAGGGTTTAGGGTTTTGGGTTTTTAGGGTTTAGGGTTTTTAGGGTTTTTAGGTGTTTAGGGTTTTTAGGGTTTTTAGGGTTTTTAGGGTTTAAGGTTGTGGAGGCCGAACACCTTGCGTAGACCCCTTCGTTCTTCTTTTTTTGGGATAACCTGTTCCAGGGTTAGGAGTCCAAACGAAAATCCAGACCTTCCGGACCTTGTTGGAGAACCGGGTGTGAGGGTCGCACCCTAAACCCTAAACCCTCAACCCTCAACCCTAAACCCTAAACCGTATAATATGAAAATCAGCTTTCCAAAAACATGTGCTGCAGCCAGGGGTCTAGGTAAGAGCTTATTTTAAGCACCTGACTAGCAAACTTGCGGCTGCGGCGATTAGGGCTTGAAAGCTCTTGGAGCCAGTTCCGCCTCTCAAAGGTACTTAATTGTGCTACTGCAAGTAGGTGTTACGGCCTACCAAGCCAGGCCGTACAACTTCAACAGTTAAGAATGTACAGAACTCTGAAAAGTCCACATCCAGTACTTAAAGGATGATGGGACTTAGTAAGTAGGGTTATAACTAAGGTAGCTATACTTATAACCCCTAATTAGGGG